ATCAGACGTAGTACGTCTCAAATTATTCAGTTATGAGAAAAACAGGAAAATCTCAGAAATCCAAATATTGTCATCAACAGTTTCACTCTTTCTCATGTGTGGTAGTCTAACTTTGAATAAAGGTATGGATACCCACCTCGTAAAAATATCTCATTGTCCTCTGCGTGCCTCATTCATAGGACTAAACAGATGAAAGTTTAGATGTTGAGATGTTGATATTTCAACTGTCATGCCAACTTACATCGCCAAAAGTCCATTGTTCATATTTAAATGTGCAAAGATTAAGTAACTCATCAAAACTTTCTTCTAATGGTTTATAACAGAAAAAGAACAAAAACAAACAAAAGGTACCAATACATTAAAAATTAAAATGCTTTTATCACAGCATGTGACACAGTTATATAGACTCATTTATTACGTTATATCACTACGTCAGGTGGTGGTATGGGAGTATAGATTGAACAAGATTGAACATTTTCGCCAATACTCTATAACAGAAAAAGTCGAGGTGGGTTACTGAAAAGCGTCATATGAAAGAAGTTACACCTACTAATATTTAATGACGTTTGATTAATGTTTACATAAATCAAAAAGTGGTTGTAAGCACAGTCCTTGGGTACACATTTCAGTAGTGTCGTCATAGGTCTGTGTAACAAAACATTAAATGAAGAGTTTCAAAATTTCATAACCAATGGTGATGATTAGAGTTCTGTATATAAAAATAGTACTATATTATTGTTATTCCCAATTATTATTTATCTTGTAATTTTCGTAGAAATGAATACGAAACATTAATTCCATTGTGTCACTCATATATAATCCTGTGTGTGTGTGCGCGCGCACGCGTGTGTGTCTGTGCGTGTCGTATTTTTCCAATTAAATATTGGATTCGAACAAGTTTCAAACTTCTGTCAATATCTTCTCTCATACCATTTCATCCATGCGATTACAATTCAAACTGAACCAACGAGCTCTTAACTGTTGCTTAAAAAAATTAGTTTATCACAGCCAATTACATACTGTTTTAATTCCATTAAAAATGGACGTTACCTCATTGAAAGCTGACCGGTATACAGGATGGGTGGAAGTGGCCTTAATGTCATCGGAGAAGGCCAAAAGTGTGTGCGACACTATGAGGACCTGGTTCTGCACATATGGAGCACCCGAAGAAATATCTTCGGACGGAGGACCCCCGTTTGAATCCCAGGAGTATAACTCCTTTTTAAAAAACTGGGGTATACGGAAACGCAGTTCATCGGCCTATTATCCTCAAAGCAATGGGCACGCAGAGTTAGCCGTTAAAACAGCAAGACGAATACTTGTCGACAATACGGACAACTGCGGACGCCTATGCCATGATTGACCTACTCGCAACACTCCCGTCCACATCTTGACATGTCCTCGGCCGTAATGCTCTACGGCCGAATCATTAGGGACCATCTTCCGGTCCTAAGGGATAAATACCAAACACGGAAACAGTGGAAGGAAATAGGAGAGCTAAGGCAGTTGACAATGACTAAAGAGGCTCATGTGAAACGAACAGCATTGCCGCCCACTCCGGGAACTTCAAGTCGGAGACTAGGTCCAGATCCAGAACCAGGATGGTAAATATCCACGTCAATGGACAAAGACGGGGAGGGTCGTAGAGACACATGATAACCGGCAATGCCAGGTGCGAGTGGATGGAAGCTGTCGGATAACGCTACGCAACGGTCGATTTCTCTGCAGAATCTACCCGGTCGTGGATGGCCCGCCTCACGCCACACAGGGAACCTCAGATCCGTCTACCAATCCAGAGTCCCCACAGGAACAACTTCCGGGGGAGCCGATGGATATTGAACGGGATATCAATGTCACGACACCAAGCCAACCCGACGAAATAGAAATAGAAATAGAAACGGGCAACACCACAGGTATGGCGGAAAGCAACACAGGAGGGTATATTCAGCCGGTCGGTCCCTCACCGTTAAGACAACCCTCATGTCGCAGAAAACAAGCGCCAAGGAGTCTGTACCCACGAATACGGGGGAAATCGCACGAATTCTCGGACGCATCCAAAGATGACCACGTTAATTCATCCCGTGGTCACGGGGTGGGGTGGGGGCATGTGTAGATGTTAACGGAGTTATCTTACCTTGGAGTGTATAAATAAAAGTGAGAAGGAAGCGGCCATTTGCTTTTTCAATATTGCTCGGAAGCATGTCAAGCGGACGTCTTCTGCACTTTGCAATTACAACCGATATCATCTTTTAAATTTCTCTTTCAGTAAAGAATGTCTGAAAATCTTTGACTGAAACAAATGAAAGATCATTCTAAATTTCTTTATCCGCATCCTATACTAAATTTTATTCCAGTATATAAATTACAATTCCAAATTGTGTTGTCTAGATTTAAGGACTAAAGCAAGAAATGAGAAAAACCATTTAAATATTTAACAAATATTTATTCCACTGGGTTAGGTAAGTATAGGAAACGTCTATCAAGTGTCACGTGAATGTTATTTAAGAAATACATCTATGCATTTCTGTGTCACAAGATTTGCTGGCAGGTTTCTCGGCTAGACTTATTTTCAAAACCAGTGTTTTCATGATCATATATGTAAATACTGATTTTGAAAATGGATTGAACTGACAACCTTTTAGCAAAGTGGCCTATGCCGTGTGTAAGATAATATTGTTTCACCTCTTAAACGTTTTCCAAGATAAGAAACTGACAAGAATAATCTGACATAATATTTTTATTTAAATTATGTCTTGTATAGGTTGACTTAATCCACTCAGGGCAATAGAACAGTCAAATTACTAAATAACGTTATTTCAAGAAACTCTCATCCATTGAAATCTAACCGACACACCACTGAACGCGGCAAGTTACGAAAATAAAATTTGAGAATTTCAATTCAAACGTTTTTCATGTCAGATTCTAATTGCAATAAAAGTGTTCCATTTGTCATGATATTTTCTAATGTTTTTAACACACTATGTATTAATTTTAGTCTAAAAATAATGAATCATGAACACGTATTCACACACAAACTATATATATATATATATATATATATATATATATATATGTAAAAATCAACACATGGTCTGTTATTTAATCGTTTCAGTGAATCTTCAGACACATGCTGACTGCCGACTTTTGAGCTTAAGGCGTAAAACAGTCACCATTGCCATTCTTATGTCCACACTGTCTATATATACGAATGCTCTACTTCCTATATTGAATCCTCTTACTTCATAAATATAGCAAATTTTAAACAATATGCGAGAGAGATGAGGTACATAAAAATGACTTCACTTTATAAATGATGATCTCCATATGTTTACCAGTACAATTTACAAACGCACCCACAAAAATCAAAAACACAAAGGGGTCTCGCACTGAGTTCTGGGATTTTTTTTATATCTCTTCCTCGTTACAGATTAGGCACCTTATCCTTGTATAATGTTTAACGAAGTTTGTCCGATTGAATATTACTGCTGAGTTTGATCCTCACTAGGTGGCATTATAACAAGATCGTAATAGATTAATTTATATTAAATGATACTATTTATCTTAAAAATGTAACCATGAAATTTAACCTATGTCTTCGAATGTTGATTTTATATATCATATATTTCATTTTAGGACTACTTATGAAAGAATATTGATATTTTTCTGCAATTGTCAGACAAATTAGTAGGTGCGTCTTGTAAATTGGTGTTGGAAAATAACGGTCTTTTGTGCCTCTTCTCAGAGCACAATTGTTGATTACTTTGACTATTTATGCATCACGTTCATGTTAATACCAGTACTTAAAGGAAAGACTTGGAAGGGGGACCTTACTTACCCGTAAGTTTGAAGATGAAAATATGACGTTAATTTATACAAAATCATTTTCAGCCAAAGTTACAATAAGATATCTAACGTGGGAACGTTTGGTGTTAGCGTCCACACGAGCCACGAACACATTGTGTAACATATTGTTTTCGTAACATATTCTGCACATACACCTAAACAAAAAATATACATGTGCATATACACACCCTTTTCAACGTTTAAATTTTGGCTTCAACGGATTTCACTGGTGTCAGTCCACTTCCTATTTATAGAATTTAGTATTATTTTTAACTGATAATTATCACCAAAGTTAATTTTCTTTATTAATCTATTAACACTTTTAAACCAATGTTTTACAGAGAAGTGTGTCGACTGGTCAAGAATTGTTCACTGCTTATTCCTCTTATTAGGAAAACTCAGGCAAACGACTGTACATATCAGCTCTAGTTAGCAGCTCTGAAGTTATCCACCATAGATATTTTTTTAATCCGTGCTTAATTAAAAATTAATTAACAACTTGCAATAAGAATGGCCGATGAACTTCTTTATTTTCTAAGTGAGAGTAGTTTCACGACATTGTGATAAACATTGTGCCTCTTTTTATGGTAGAGTAACATGCACAAACATATATGTACAAAAAATTGGATCTTTATAATAAAGATACCAGATAACTCAACATGCGTTCCTAAGTAGATAAATAGCTCTTTCGACATCTGATGTCGTTCATAATGTTGAGTTACATAGAAAGAATGCCGAATGGTAGCATTTTTGCTTCGAAATATGTTAATTAGGAGATGGAAATATTGAGTTGCATTTTGTAAAGCAGTGGCAGCCAATTCAGATGTGCGGGTGGAGAATGACGAGTTAGATGAGGTGAGTGGAGAGATATATACTGAAATCCGTGAAATGTTCGCTGTCATAACGCCGATTGATTGATTCGTTTTCTACGGCTTATCAACCATTTGCATGTTATTTAAAGCCATAAAATATACTTATATTGTAAGAATTTGGGGGAGATGATGATTTAGTGATACAAATTTTATTAATTACCCCATAGCTAGGGGAGAAGGTAGATTTACTAAGCATGAATATAACGAACCCAACTGGAAGTGGAACTCAAGTCTCTGATTAACAATTTCTAGCTATTATCTATTACTCCAATCACATATCCATTCTTACGGCACCTGCTATTCCAAAGCGGTCACCCATCTAGGTACTGACGAGTCTCGGTGTTGCTTAACTTCGGTGATCCTACGGAAACCGGTGTTTCAACGTAATATGGTGTCATGAATATTGAGTTAAGTCAATTAATGAATGACGATATATTAAAATAACCTGAATCAATATTTTGCTTTGAAATTGAGTTCAATTCTCGATTTAGTACATAAAGCCTAAAGGAAATTTGTAATGTGTGGATCTAACGCCTCCGATTAATATGGCTCTGCTCGAAAACGAGTTCAGACTCGCCCAAAGTAAAATTAATAAACATCCATTGACTCTATCAGACCAGTTTTAATGTCTTGTTGACTTCTCACAATGTTTCAGATGTGTTTCCATGTAGACAAAATAAAAACATTCTCTTCTCGAAAGGTTAACAAATGTAAATGACTCCAATGGTAGGCTGGAGACTCTCCGGTCAAAGCTATGTTAAAGAGCATCCCAAAAGAAAGAATTCGCTTCAAAAACAGAATCGGTGCAAAATAGAAACAAAAATGTTCTCAGAAAAGCAAACAAAATATTGGCCAATTAGTAAACAAAAGCAAATAATGATTTCAGTTGTTCAAATCAACTGTTTCAATGTTACATTTGAATAACAAATTATTTTAACTAGGTGTTAACACCAGCAGGGCAACCTACGCAATGGTCAACGCAAGAAAGTTTTGGGAAAATGAGAATTAGTGAGAGAGGATTCTTTCACTACAAGGGAAAGGATTCTAAAATTTCCAATTAACATTCATCTACACGCTTCCTTGCAGGTCTATCTTACTCCTCTTGTGTTTTTATTTTAGATTTTCACCCTGTACAAGGCCTGGACCCACTGAGTTATAGGCTTACAGAGTAAGCGGTACAGTTTATATATATGGGGAAGATAACGGTTATATATATATATATATATATATATATATATATATATATATATATATATATATATATATATATATATATATATATATATATAGGAAGATAACGGTTGAACCGGTTAAGGTTGTAGTGATTGCGGAAGTCATCTCATGAGAATATTTTCCACAAAAGCACTTCGTGGGAATAAACTGCTGGTTGTTTTAAAGTCAATTTTTTTACGAATAAAATGAGAATTACAAAATTTTTCTAAAAGTTCTAATTGTCATCTTTTTTATCCGTGAAATAGACATGGATACAGATAATTCACCATGTAATTATTTTCTCTCTCTTTATCTACAAATAACTTTCTTTGCGGATTATTTTCTTTCTTCAATGTTTTGGGTGATTCATAAATCCCAGCAATACAACGTAGAAACTTTTTTTTTTCTTTTTAGGTTTCATAATATTAAACAATTCATACAGCGGTCCGTCAAAAAGTAATGCCTGTTTTAATTGTGAAAATATTAGTGAGAATTCCATAAACAATCTAAAATTCCTGAAGAAGATTTGAAAAATTCGCTTTTCCTATCCAAAATATTCTTTCATCAGGGTTTCTCATCTATATACATGTTTAAAGGAATGGAATCATTTTTATAGAAGTCATCCATAAAGAACAAATATTTTAATTTTGGCCCTTCTCTTAATACGTAATATTCTAATTAGTATTATTATTATAGACACTTATCTAAGTCGGTAAGACATCCTTAGGTGGTTCTTTTCATATGATTGATGGATATGTTAGTTTGTTTTTATTAGTGTTTTATTAGTGATAAGTATAAAACCCTAAGTCTCATAATATTTTCGTCTGTTGTGTTGAACGTTTTTGTAGAAAAGGTTAATCTGTTTTGGGTTTTTTTTTTTATGTTGTACTTATTTGTATTATTGCTATTCTATTCTTTCTAAGGATAATTTAATTCTTTTTATCTATTAAGCAGTTAAGAAAATTGTTAATTTTATATTCTTGATTTCGTTATAGAATATTGTGTGCATCGAGGATATTAAATGTACTCTATTTATGAATGCTATTATAAATGTGTGGATATTCACAGTCGTTTCAGAGTAGGTTATGGGTATTGTTTTCTTTATAAACGTAAAGTTATAAAGTTATTATTGTTCGAATCGATTAGTACGTCTCAAAATGGGATTCTGTTATTAGTGTTAATTCATGTGTGAAATTAAGAATCCAGTTATTTTCATAGATTTTTCTCCAATTCCGTCTTCCCTTACTTCTTATAAATACATCGTCAACGTAAATTACTGGTTTCGAATCTTTTTAAAAAATCGTTTTCTAAGTGTGACATGTATAATTCTGTTAGTATTGGAGTGATAGGTGAACCCATTGCGATACCAGCATTTTTTTTTTTTTTGTATAGCCCGGGTGTACGGGCTCGGGCTCCCCACATTAAACCGACCTGGTGTCACAAACTGACCTCGTGGGGGTGGGTGAGTAAATACAAATTACAAAGTAGTTTGTAACACTCCTATTTATCATCTTTCAGTGGCGACTTTGGGTAGAGTAGCGGCTTCGTCAAAGGACAGAGTCGCAACTGAGGAAAATTATACTGAGACGTTCCCGGCACTGGGGAACAACTGCACAAAGCTCATTGCACTAGAGAGAGGGATCGGTGCTCGCACCTAGGCCAGCGCAACCAACGGTTACGGGGGATCGGGCAATTTTTGTTCTCAGCCCGGGTGCCTGGTCTTGGGGAACAGTTGCCCCAGGACGCGCCCTCTTATTGCACTAGAGAGAGGAATCAGTGTATGCGTTTGGGCTTCCAACATTATATCGACCTTGAGTCTTAACGCGACTTCGTGGAGGTGGGTCGAGTAAATACAAACTTACTACAACGTAGAGCTGGGGTTTTTTAATCTCAAAATTCGTGAGAAATTTGAGCTCCAATTTCGCCTATATTCATATAGATTCCACAATATAGGTTTTACTTAATTAGCTGTTAGGTTTCTTTAACTCTTAAAATGTTGAATGTATAACTAATTCTAATTTCTATTTTCCCATCTTTACACTATATTATCTTATAAATTGTCTCCTAAATTAAAAAAAAATTGTTTGCACGGAAAATAAGGATTTACGTACATCAAATCGTCTTTAAATCAAGTGGCAGCAGAAGAATTATTGTTTAACTATTAAAAAGTAAGCTTAAACATTAACTCAATGTTTAAATGCAGCGATTAGTTTTTCAGTTCTTCTGTAGTTTATTGATACTTATCGCATCTACTCCTCCATAGCTATTGTTATGATGGCCAAACCAAGAATCCTCCACAGGAGCGAGCTTAAATGCTGCTCGAAAGTGCGGCTTTTAAGCCAGTTTACAATAAACATGCACTGAAAATTTGAATACCAAATGAAAATAAGAGTTACTCCCCATGAACCATGCAAACAATGATAATGGCTAGTATAACATATTAATATATATATTTCTCACATAATCTGGTAACACTGAATCTGAGCTGAACTTCCCTGCTCCAAACTTTTATAGTGCTTTTGAATGAGCTATGAATCACTGAAATCGGACCAGTGGTAGATATTTAATACGAGCAAGTGCTGTGGTTGTAATATTGCAACCACGTATAGTCATTATTTTACATCTCGATACAAATATCGGAGTTTAATCAGAGTCCATAAATTCGGTATATGTGAGAGTAACATGCGTGCCTAGTCATGTCTATATGATTGCGGATTAACATATCCGTTAATGTTTTAAAAGTGGAAGGGCCGTACAAGAATTATCCCATGCTTTTCACTTACTTTCATGTTTATTTTATGAGATGTTAAAAGAGGTGGTCATTTTAGAAGTAGAAGTTACCAGAAAGGAGAGAGTATTTTACCACCTGCTTCCTTTAAATCATGAAGAATCAGAGTTATCCATCTCCGAGGTGAGCTACACAGTCTAACTTGCTACTTACACATAGTAATGTAGCGAGAACTGGATTCGTGCTTTTACTAAGTGAAATGTAAGCAAGAAACCTCAGTCTGAATTCGAATTCAGAATTGTTTTCTGTACGTGTAACTGTTATGCCATTCCGCATTTTCTTTTCCGTACATATGTGTGTTATGTTGAATGCAATAAAGGGTACTCTCTAACGACTTAAAAGCCGGAACTGGCCTCTTGCCACTCATGAGATCTGTTTAGTTCAAAATGTTCAATATATTTCGTATTTCCTGACACATTAGCAATCATTTCCGTGCCTCGGAGACTCGTGAATTAGAAAATTGTAATTTTAACTGTAAAATATTTCCAATACGACTGGCGATATGAGCGTCATATTTACAGACGCCGAAACAAATTTAGACACAAAGATAACTTCCTTTACTGCTTATTTCTTTTACCTATTTTCTGAAAATTGTAATTTTATGTTATAAGGAAAAATAAATTTTATACACCTACTAATCAAAATTGTAGGAAAAGCGTTATGAGTTGTAACGTTTAATTGCTTTGTTTATCTTTTAGTATAGTCAAATTCTTTCTTTCTCATTTATCATTCAAATCGTTTTTTTCTTTTATACTTTTATTTATTCATTGAATACTATTATTTAAAAATAAATTATGATAATAGCAATAATAACTTGTTCTTTAGACGACAAACTGTTTACTCCCACGTCCAGTTTAAAATATGTATGTGTGCGTGTGTGTCGCGGAGACATAGAAATATCTGGTTTGGTGTCCGGGCTCGCGTTTGAATCAATAGGAAAAGGAAAATTCTGATTTTAAACCCGCGATCACTTCAGCATCTGATATGTGGCAAACTGTGCTCCAGTACAGGCTATGCTCTTTTGACGAAGAGTGTGTGCATACTGCTGTACAAGCAATAACTATTATAAACAAGTTATGTGCAGGTTGTTCAGTAAACACCAACATGTTTTGTGCTCTTGGAATCCTCTGTCGTTGAAGAGATAATGACAGGGACAGGAAAAGTACGTCATTGAAGATTCCTAGCTTGAACTTTGCACCTGGGTGATGGCCGTTTTGAACAACGTATGCGAGTAATTGTATAACTCGTGTCCTCCTTTCATAACAAATTTTATGACGGCACTGCTTTCATCCGAGGGAGGATGGATCAAGAAAATGTGACCTAAAAAATGCTTACTCGCTCTAGTCCATGTCATTAGATAAAACTGACTGAGCATCCAAAACTGCACCAGA